AAAGGATAACAAGACTGCTTTAAGGATGAATGCTGGACAGTTGACGAGGCTAATTTTCCTCTCTTTCTTTCTGCTTCCTTCCTTCTCTTTCTTTTTCTTTCTCTGTCTCTTCTTTCTTTTCTCTCTCTTGCCCTCCCCTCTCTCTCTGTTGACAAGGTCTCACTATGTTGCCCAGTCTAGAGTGCTGTGGCATCTGCAGCCTCCAACTCCTGGGTACAAGCAGTCCTCCCACCTCAGCCTCCCTAGTAGCTAGGACTACAGGTGGGCATCACCTCACCGGGCTACTTTTAAAAATTTTTTTTGTAGAGACAGGGTCTTGCTATGTTGCCCTGGCTGGTCTGGGACTCCTGGGCTCAAGTAATGCTCCCACCTTGGCCTCTCAAGTATTGGGATTACAGGAGTGACCCACAGCACCAGTCCCAAGGCTAATTTCTGAGCTAACTTATGTGAGTTCAGTGAAACGGATTCAAATTTGTGCCTCACCCAGTTTATACATTAGTACATGTCAGAGAACCTCTTAGTTACTCCACAACAGAAATCGAGAACGTAAAAAGTACCCAAATGCCTATAAAATATGTCTAGGAAACAGGCTAAGAGTTTTGGACTCTACAGTTAAATTTGATTCTGCAAATTCCATTTGTAGAAATTTATCCTAATGAAAATAATCTCACAAGTATATACAGAGACATATGTAGAAGGACGGTCACTGCAGGGTTATAAGTAACCGTGGAGGAAAAATAAACAAACTAATGTCTAATAAAAATAAATTGGCTAAACCACCAGAGATCCATGGCTGGGCACGGTGGCTCACGCCTGTGATCCCAGCACTTTGGGAGGTTGAGGCAGGTGGATCACCTGAGGTTAGGAGTATGAGACCAGCTTGACTAACATGACAAAACCCCATCTCTACTAAAATTACAAACATTAGCCAGGCATGGTGGCAGGCACGTGTAATCCCAGCTACTCAGGAGGCTGAGGCAAGAGATTCATTTGAACCTGGGAGGCAGAGGTTGCAGTGAGCCAAGACTGCACCACTATACTCCTGCCTGGGTGACAAAGTGAGACTCCGTCTGAAAAAATAAAATTTAAAAAAAAAAAACTATCATAGATCCATAAAACGGAATATTATTTGGTTACTGAAATTGTTACAATGCAATATACATATATATAGGAAAAGACACTCATGACAAGATGTTAAACAAAAAAAAAAAAGTAGGCCGGGCGTGGTGGCTCACGCCTGTAATCCCAGCACTTTGGGAGGCCGAGGCAGGCGGATCACAAGGTCAGGAGATCGAGACCATCCTGACTGACACGGTGAAACCCCGTCTCAAAAAAAATTAGCCGGGCGTGGTGGTAGGTGCCTGTAGTCCCAGCTGCTCGGGAGGCTGAGGCAGGAGAATGGCGTGAACCCTTGAGGCGGAGCTTGCAGTGAGCTGAGATTGCAGAAATTGTGTATGAATAGCCACATGCATACACACAAAAGGATTTGAAGATGTATGTATGCAGGTAGTAGACTTGTGGGTATTTCATAGTTTTCCACTTTATACTTTTCTGTATTTCAATTTTTCTTTTTTTTTTTTGAGACGGAGTCTCACTCTGTCGCCCAGACTGGAGTGCAGTGGCCGGATCTCAGCTCACTGCAAGCTCCGCCTCCCGGGTTCACGCCATTCTCCTGCCTCAGCCTCCCGAGTAGCTGGGACTACTGGTGCCCGCCGCCTCGCCCGGCTAGTTTTTTGTATTTTTTAGTAGAGACGGGGTTTCACCGGGTTAGCCAGGATGGTCTCGATCTCCTGACCTCGTGATCCGCCCATCTCGGCCTCCCAAAGTGCTGGGATTACAGGCTTGAGCCACCGCGCCCGGCCTGTATTTCAATTTTTCTACCATAAAACATACAATTATCTTTTTAAATACAAAGAATATTAGTTGCTCATCATAAACTATATTTTAACCTAAAAGTGATCATGAGATTTAGTATTTTCAAAAACTTATAGTTATTAATACATATTTGGTAGTTTATTAAATACTTTTAATGTTTAGTCTAGTCATTCAATTAAAAAAATTATACATAGTGCCAAGGAGTTAGCAAGAAACTTTTTTTTTTTTGGAGACAGGGCCTTGCTGTGTCACCCAGGCTGGAGTGCAGTGGCGCAATCATAGCTCACTGCAGCCTTGATCTCCTGGGTTCAAGTGATTCTCCCACCTCAGCCTCCAAAGTAGCTGGGACTACAGACGCACACCACCAAAGAAACTTCTTTTTTAAGCAACAGATTTCTATTTACTATCATAAAGTACAGTAGTACAATAATTAAATGGGTTAGCTTTTGAGTTTTACATATTTTTATACACCCCAATTGTTTATCATCCCTGTAACTACCATTTATTAAGTGCGTGTGTCTCAAAAACTTATATAAGCACTTAGAAGTAGGTGAACTTTGTTATTACTATTCCTATTTTCAGCTGAGAAATGAGGCATTGAGAGGTTACATCAAACTCACTGACTGTGTAGTCAAACACAATATTCTCCAGAGTTTGCGCTCTTAACTGCATAATATCTACGGTGTCCTGTGGTGAACTCCTGAAAAGAAGGTGTAAAGGTCAAATTTTATTAGCATGAAAAGTTGAAACTGGAAAATATAACAATTTTCTCTATTTGTTAGAAACCAATTTTTATAGCAGTATGTTGGACTTATAGTTTATAAAATGATATTTTGATATAAGACAATATACCAAATGTAACTTTGATATATGATTTACCACTACATTGTAACTTAAATTTACATTTTGACTCTCTAAGCAAATGCTTTGCTCTGAATCTTCTTTCTGGCTAATCACCTTGAGCACACTATGTCTGGGAAAGGCTCTCTCCTTTCTAAACTAACCAAACTTACAGAAGTTACTGGGGTATAGTGCTTATGGCTCCTAATTTAAAATCAGTGACTACTAACTGATAGATTAATTTGACAAGTAAACTTTTAAAAGATTGGTCTCACTGCAATGTAGTTCACATATTCACTCAACAAATGTTTGAGTTCCTCCAGGCACTGTTTTAGGCCCTGGAGGTACAGGGGTGAACCAAAGCCTCTGCCATCTGAAAGGTGTATGACAGGTACAATTACACAGCGGAAAGTCATGGTCAATTGTTTTTTATTAGCAGCCTAAGGCATAAAACTTAATCTGCCACTTGAAAAACTTTCTATCCACTTCAGGAGCTGGTCTCAGGAGATGCTCAGTGAGAAGGGAGCTAGTGGTTTCCAACTTCCCTATGCAGGAGAAATTCCTAGAGAATGCATTAAAAATACCAATTCCAGAGCCCCACCTCCAGCTGTCTGATTCTGAGGTGAGGTGACAGAAACCTGTGTTTATTTTTATGTATTTATTTACTTACTTTCTGGACACAGGCTCACTCTCTCTGTCGCCCAGGCTAGAGTGCAGTAGGGCAATCACGGCTCACTGCAGCCGTGATCTCCTGGGCTCAAGTGAACCAGATCCTCCCACTTCAGCCTCTAGAAGAGCTGGGAATATAGGCACGAGTCACTAAGCCCAGCATATAAAAAAAAATTATTTTTTAGAGACAAGGTTTCCCTATGTTGCCCAAGCTGGTCTCAAATTCCTGGGCCCAAGCTATCCTCCTACTTCAGCCTCCGAAAGTGTTGGGATTACAGGCTTGATCCACCATGCCCCAAACCTGTATTTTTAACAGGTGCCTCCATTAATGCTGATGTAAGTGATCTGAGGTCCACACTTTAAGAAACCCAACCAGTAAGTGGAGCCAGTCAGGAGGAAGTGATCATTCAGAAGGGAACAGCTCTATGGCAGAAGAATTTGAGGTGCAAACATAATCCAAACTCTCATGTCATCAATTCTCTACAACTCCCAAATTTTAGCAAATTAAAAAAACGATTTAGAGTAGAGAAATTTGGACGAGGCATGGTGGCTCATCCCTCTAATCCTAGCTCTTTGGGAGACTGCCTAGGTGGGAGAATCGTTTGAGGCAGGTGTTTTAGACCAGCCTGAGCAACATAGAGAGACCCTGTCTCTAGAAAAAATTTAAAAATTAGCTGGGCATGGTGGCGTGCACCTGTGGTCCCAGATACTCCAGAAGCTGGGGTGGGAAGATCACTGGAACCCAGGAGGTTGAGGTTGCTGCCATGACTGCACCACAGCACTCCAGCCTGAGTGACATAGCCAGACCCTGTCTCAAAAAAAAAAAAAAAAGAAAAGAAAAGAAAAGAAAAAAAAAGAAAAAATTACTAGCAGCTCCTCCTTAACCTCTTACAGGAGGTTTGACAGTTTGCCCCAATCTAGGTATTTGGGGAAAAGATAAACTTGAGCAGAGGTTCTACTACCAATATTGAAGATAAGCCTTAGGGAAAAGAAAATTGCTAGTCGACTGCCAAAAAAAAAAAAAATCTAAGAAGGACAAACATTTCACAGAACTAACTTGCTACCACTCATTTTATGCCCTATTTCACAATGCTTAGTATCTGAGCAATCCACAGGGTTCCAAAGTACATTAAAAATTTGTTCATTTCCTCTCTTACTCAGGCAGAATAATAATAGAGTTTTGTGAAGGTACCATGCGCCCCAGCAATTTCAACAGAAGCATTCCTAGATAATGAAATACCATTTTTTAAAAAAGATCATACTATGAGAAATGATCTTTACTGGACTACTTAAAGGTGTCTGAAATAATTTTAACACCAGCATCAAATTAGTGTCCCTCACTCCTTAATTTATATGACTTAAAAGTCCCTAGATTCTTTACCAACCCATCTGCACTAGCGATTTTTCTTTCATATGTATGTAATTTTTAATGTTTTTACTTACAAGGAAACTCCCATCAAAACAACGTTTCAAGCACACCAGTAAAAGAAATTTTAAACAGAAGCATATTTTATTCTCAGAGATAAACTAAGAAATAATAACTATGAAGGGTGTTTAAGCTTCCGCACTCTCAACCTTCAAGTCATCTAAAAATAAAGGTATCCCAACAAATACATTCCTCCTATTCAAATTTTGGGGGTTTAGAGTGGCACCATGCAAACCAGCTGGCCTGCTGTGTCCTGGCCCCAGTTCCTGCCCTCACATCCTGTCCACTACATAATCCATGAGATATCTGTGCCTTTCTCTTCATCCGTTTCACGGGATTAGCAAAACTGCCTCCCCGCTGACAGAACTGAGAATTTCTAGAGGCATTTGTTTGTATGGGATTTGCTGTTATTAGCCACCCTTTTCATTGGCCTTGTTTTTATTATCTGTACATTTTGATCAAGGGGAGCAGCAAGAGAAGAATGCCAACAGACAAGCACAAAGAAACGCATCTGGCCGGAGCCTGCATATATTTAAATTCCCAGGTTGCTGCTGCCCTCAGAATAGCACTGATGATGGCAAAGTTCTAGAGGAAACTTTCATATTGAAGAGGCTATAAAAATCTCTATAGCCTCCAACTCCACAGAGAAGCCGCTAATCTATTTCTTCCAAAGCAAAGCCTTCTTGAGTCTGAATCACAACAAAAGATTGCCCATAGGAAATGTAATCTCCGAAGTTGTTTTCTAACCCCAAAGCAAGCAGAGGCGCAGGAAGGTGCGGCCGATTCCTCGCCGGTTTCCTTTTTTTAGGAATTCTGATTGCATTCCCTCGTGCAAGCAAGGGACTGCAATTGTGCCTCAGGTCCACACCACAAAACCGTGCCGGTGCGTAAGAAGGGAAGGGACGCGGCGGACCCGGGGACGCGCTCACAGGGCGCGGGAGCCGCTCTCCGTTAAATGCCTTCAGGGGCGGCCCCGCGGCGCGCCCTGGGGCCGAACTGCATTGCCTGCCCTTCACTGACCCGGGATTCCGCAGGCTTGCGAGCGAGGGAGCGAGGAAGGAGCCGGGGCTCCAGGCAGAGGCGACGCCGCTCCCGCCAGCGCGGGTCCCCGGGAGGCCGGCGGGAGGCGAGGCCGGGCCGCCCCGCGCCGGCGGCCGAGGGCAGCGAGGTCAGCCTGGGAAGGAGCGGACGCCCGGGGTCCCCGCGGCAGGAGGGAGCCCGCTCCGCGGCGGGGCCGCGGCGCCCATTCATCCCTACGCCCGTCCCACGGCCACCACCCCACGGCCCACCGCAGCCCCCGGCCTCCCAGTGCGGGTCCGCCCGCCATCCCGCCGCCGCCCCCGAGGACGGGAAGGACGAGGCAGAGGGACGGCCGCTGCAGTCTCCCAGGCGCGCGGCGAGGGGCTAAAGGCGGCCGGGGGGACAAGCGCCGGGCGCGGGACGGACGCCCCGGGCAGCCATCGCGCCGACCCCCGCCCCCGCCGCCGCTGCCCGCGGTCCAGGCCGCCGCCGTGCAGCCCTTTCCTCACCTCATCTCCGGGCAGGTCCGCGCTGCCGCCCCAGGGACAAATCAGTGTCGCTCACGCGCCGCGGGGAGGGACGCAGGAGCCGCAGCCCCGCACACCATCCCCGCCCGCCTCTCCGTCCGTCCCGGAGCCCGCTCGGGATTCTTCCTCGCGAGCCGCCGTACTACGGAGCAACCAAGCTGTGCTCCCTCCCCTGGCGCCTCCACTCCTCTCTACCTCGTTCGCTCCCTCCCTCCTTCCCTCGCTCCCGCCTATCTCCTCATCTCCCTCCGCTGCCTCCCCCGCCCCCCATCTACCCTCCGTCTCCGCCCATAAGTGGGTGGGGAAACCGCCTGCCAATCGGAAGAAGGGGCCCGCACCTTCTCACCGCCCCCTACCGCTGGCCCCGCCCACCGTGCGAACCCGAGGAAGGGGAGCCAAAGAAATGTAAGACGACAGAGTGACAAGCTGAATGAGCCAGTCAGCAGGCGCTGAGTGGGGGCAGGATTAGCACTCTCCCCCTCTTCCCCACGTAGGCGTAACCGGAGATTTCTGGTCTGAGGTTGCCTATCGTGCTTTATGGAGATTTTGTTGCACGATTTCGGTGCATCTGCTCGTTGCCGTGCGAGGCACTAGATAGAATGCACTTAATTGACTTAATTATTGGAGGTTTTAAAGGAGAGAATAATGTGGAAAGGATAAAGGAGGCGAAGCACAAGCCAGAGGGGTTGGCCGGGCCCATGGTTGGAATGAGGAAGGGTGTGATCTTCGGTTAGGATTTGCATAAAACGGAACCCATCCAGGCGATTCCAACTTCGCCCATTTATTGGTAGTCCTTGGGGCGGTGCCTCGCCTCTTTCTCCGCCCCCGAGCGGAACATCACGGGAGATGTAGTTCCAAGACTGGTTGCCATGGCGTTCTCGACAGCCTCGCGAGTCCGACCCCGCCCTTCAGGAGTGACGAGCGGCCTGACCAATGGGAGCAGGGGGCGGGCTCTCTGCGGAAGGACTTGAAGGTGGCGGTGGTGAAGGTACAGGCCGTTGTGGCGGCTCAGAGGCAGGTGAGCCCCGGAAAAAGCGTCCTGTGTCTTGGGAAATGGGACTTTAAGCGAAAGGTGGAGAGATGCCCCGCGGAACCGTGCAGCCCTGGGGAGGATGGTGGTTCGCGTCGAACCCCAACCTGGGACTTGTTCGGGCCCAGGCCTAGCTTAGCAGAGGCCGCTGAGGGGTGGGTAAGACTAGATTTGAGGGACAGTTTCCTTGGACCTTGACGGGTTTTTATTGTAGGTCTTATCTCAGTTTGCATCTCCCTGTACTTTTATGGAGGTAGAGGTCTGGGAGTGCCCTTCCACTTAATCTCCCAGGTTGGGTTTTTCTCCTCTGCTTTTTGTTCCTAGAATTTGAGTGTCTTTTTCTTTCTCTGTTACTTCTTCTCAGCTACTTTTTTCTTCCTCATCACTTTGCTGTTTTGGGAAAGCAGTTAGTAGTTATTCGCTGTATGTGGCTTTTGAGCCACATCGGCCCTCTTCATTACGCTAAACAGCGGAATCATCTGGAGCGAGATGTAAGCATCGCCTTGGCATAGGTCTGGGTGCGGGCGGGACATCTGCGTTTCTAACAAGCCCCCAGGTGCTGCTGTCCACGTTTCGAGTAGCAAGGTTTTACCTGAACTCTGTTCAGTGCAAATATAATGCAAGTCCCTTATGTCATTTTAAATTTTGGGATAGCTACATTTAAAACGTGAAAAGAAACGCGTGAAATTAATTTTAAGTATATGTTTCATTTAGCCTAGTATATCTGAGACATTACCATTTCAACGCTTAATCAAATATTTAGAAATTGGGATTTTACAATCTTTTCTTCGTATTAAATCTTCAAAATCTGATGTGTATTTTCCACTTACAGCGCATCTCAGTTCCAACTAGACACAGTTGGAGTGCTCAGTAGCCACCTGTGCTAGTGACTGCTACACTACTGCAGAAATTAAAAGGTGTGAAAAATAAGGCTGCATTGACCAAACCCTTTGCAACTCTATGAGATGGGATTCAGAACTACTTTAGAGATTCTCTGTAATTGAGATGTGCCCAATTTACAGAAATAATAGTCAAAATAGCCAACATTTCTGAAAGTATGATGTTGCGCTGAGTGCTTTGCATGTATTATTTAATCCTTACGGCAACCCTTTGAGATAACTGCTATTATTATCTAAGATATGGGGTCTCAGGCCCAGAAAGGTTAAAATTAAGTAGTCCAAAGTCATACAGCTAATAAGTAGGAGAGCCAGGATTCAAGTTCAGGTCAGTTATGACTTCTAAATCAGATCCAGCAGCCACTGCAGTGTATAATTACTACCTTTTGTCACTAATTTCCCTTATTGATGCCTCTTTTCCAGCTTACAGTAGGGGATAAGACGTTTAGATTTGCAACTGGGGTAGTTCCCCATACAAGATCAAGCTGCCAGCCTTGTGCAATGAAATATTTCTAAGATAACTATGCTCTTCTTGTAGACCCAATGAGCAGTACTACATTGAGCTCAGGAGAGTTTTATGAGTAGAAGAGCAAAAATACACATATTGGCCAGGCCTGGTGGGTCACGCCTGTAATCCCGGCACTTTGGGAGGCTGAGGCAGGTGGATCACTTGAGGCCAGGAGTTCGAGACCAGCCTGGCCAACATGGTGAAACCCCGTGTCTACTAAAAATAAAAAAATTAGCCGGGTATGGTGGTGCACACCTGTAATTCCAGCTACTCAGGAGGCTGAGGCAGGAGAATCGCTTGAACTCCGGAAGCGGAGGTTACAGTGAGCCAAGATCACAACAACAGCACTCCAGCCTGGGCAACAGAGTGAGACCCTGTCTCAAAAAAAGATCCACATATCTACATATGCTAAAATATGGTATTTTACAAAAAAAAATTTCTTCCATTGTGTGCATAATAAAGACATGAAATTATTTTCTCTTGATTTTTGAATTAGTAAATATTTTATCAAAATTACAATTCGTATTTTTCATTTGAAGCAAGGAGTGGTTTCTCCACAATCCTATAGTGAACTGGAAAATTAAGCATTTACAAACTTCAATCATGTTAGTAGGTGGAAAAGAAAGTCAGTTAAATGGATTGGAGGGGAGCAAGTAACTGTGGTGTGGTAGAGTTTCTGGAGGATCCCTCAAATAGTCATTCTCATCACCAGGGACCTCCACCTGCATTGTTCCAGAGTCACATGATTAAGCCAGCTTATAAAGGGAAGACTCATTCATCACACCATTTGCTCCCTTGTTCCCCAGTAGTATGATATGAGAAAATATAATGCTCATTCAAAAATATAAATGAAAGTTAAGTTTCTGTTGTTCTGGATCATGTTATATTAAATAGCCCTACATTGAATAGCAACTGGACCAGAGATTTTCAGATCTTTGGGATAATGACCATCCCACGTCTTCAACCTCCAGAGACATGGGTGGGAAATTGGTCATGTAAGAAACCCTAGACTCTTAAGTGAAAATACCATCTGAAAATCAACAGATAATAAAGCCCTCATGGAGATGGTGAGGCATCAGAAATTCTTTTGAGATCCAAAAAGTTCTTTATTGAGAGCCACTGTACTAGATAGGCAAAAAAGAAACAACTTTCCTTTTCTGCTCCTTTATCTATCTTTAGATCTCAGGTTGCATACGATGTAGAGATTGTGCCACACATGTATAAATTCAATCAAATATGCCTTGATAATATTTATCAAGATTGTCACAATTAGAACAGAACTAAATGGTCATTTGATCCACCTGTCCTGCTCAGTTGATGCTGGAATCTCCTTTATGAAGCCCCTGTAATATGTACCCAGCCTCTGTTTCAGTCCCTCTAGTGATAGGGACCATCTAATGTTACGCATTTTCCGTTTAGTTTTAAATTATAATACCTAAAGTTCTTGTATTATTAGCTGGAATTGCTTTCCAAGGTTTAGCCAGATATAAGCCACTGTCACAGGATCTCCTGTGCCCATCTTATGTAATAACAGGCACAAAAGAGCACTGCAGTTGTACGCAGCAAAACACCTGTAGACTCATTGCTTGTGCAAAGTGTCCTTTGAATATACAGATTTCTAGAGACTGTTGACTATACCATGTAGAGATATCCTCAACTGTTATGACCATGCATTCACTACCCTCTTTAAGAGGCAGGCCAGGCACGGTGGCTCACGCCTGTAATCCCAGCACTTTGGGAGGCCAAGGCGGGTGGATCACGAGGTCAGGAGTTCGAGACCAGCCTGGCCAACATGGTGAAACCCCATCTCTACTGAAGATACAAAAAAATTAGCTGGGTGTGGTAGCATGCGCCTGTAATCCTAGCTATTCGGGAGGCGCAGGAGAATCGCTTGAAGCCGGGAGGTGGAAGTTGCAGTGAGCCAAGATTGCGCTGCTGCACTCCAGCCTAGGTGACAGGGCAAAACTCCATCTCAAAAAAAAAAAAAAAAGAGGCAGACCTGACCCGTTAGGACTGCCATCCTCCACAGCCTGCAGAGTATAATATTTAAGCCAAACCTCCAGCTAGTTGCTTTGATTATGGTGACTATATTCTTTTTAATCAAATATTTAGGCATATTTATTTTTCCAATGTGTGGATATGTATGAAAAGCCTCAGATTAATGTGAACATTGTTAAAACGTAATATTAATTCACCTCTTCACAAATGATCAAAATATAACTGAAGATTTCCCCTTAACAATCTAGCTAGTAGTATAATGCTGTGTGCAGGTGCCAATGATGGAATAGGGTATTGGATACTCTAACAGCCCAAGAGAGCCTGGCATGGTGACCAGGTTGAGCATACAGGGCCACATTTCAGAGTTGACTTCATCTGTTTTTCTCTTGTCTAGCTGTTTACATATATATGTGCTTTTCTCTTGTCTAGCTGTTTATATATATCTTTGCTTTCCTTAAAATAAAAATGAAGGTAGGTTAGAAACATTATAACCGAACTCTGAGCCTGAAATGGCCATAGTATTATAAAGTTTGTGTTGGGGAATAATACAAATTTGAGCATGTAGGAAGAGGAGTTTGGACTTTCAGGAATTAAATTAGCCATAGGGGAATAGACAGGTTGAATGCAGGAGAGTATTGAAAGCATTTGGCAACCTATTGCCACAACCCAAGCCTGAGGCATTGAGGTGTTCGCACATCACCAGAGTGAAGGTGATGGGATGGATCTAAGGTATTCTTGATGACTAGAGACTACAGCAAAATCTTGTTTGGGGGAAAGATGAGTCCAGCTTTGTGTCTGTTGAATTTGAGGTTGGTGTGATGCTCAGAACACTTTTGGCCTGAAAGTGTAGGTAAGGAATGATTTGTAGAGGTTTTATTTACAATAAAGAATAGATGAGTTTCTTGGGGGATTGACTGTAACAAAGGAGCAGGTGGAGTTCATGTTGCTATTATAAGAAGGATGAAACCATTTGAAACTACTTCCCATTGATTTTTTAGAAATCCCTTAGCAGATCAGTATCTTTATTAACTACTTTCTTGAAGTGTTGATAGTTAAGTGTTTAATTTATGCAAAGTTCTTGTTCTGCTTTTGCTAAAAATTATTTAAAATTGGTATTATCTTCTTAATTTTTGTTTCCCCAGATTTTTTAGTAAGTTTACTGTGTGGCCATTATAAAAATTTATAGTGGCCAGGCGCAGTGGCTCACGCCTGTAATCCCAGCACTTGGGGAGGCCAAGGTGGGTGGATCACGAGGTCAGGAGATCGAGACCATCGTGGCTAACATGGTGAAACCCCATCTCTACTAAAAATACAAAAAAATTAGCTGGGCGTGGTGGCGTGCGCCTGTAGTCCCAGCTACTCGGGAGGCTGAGGCAGGAGAATGGTGTGAACCCAGGAGGCGGAGCTTGCAGTGAGCCGAGACCACACCACTGTACTGGGTGACAGAGCGAGACTCTATCTCAAAAAAAAAAAAAATTTATAGTGCTGCTAACATAATCCTCAGTTTGTGGATTAATTCAAACATTTTAAAATTCCGATATACCTGTAAAAATGTAAAGTTTTTATGCTTTTCACAGGCTATATCAGCCTACATTTTTAAACAGGTTTATTGTAATTAAAAAGTTTTGTGTGTTTAAGAGACAGGGTTTCGCTCTGTTGTCCAGGCTGGAGTGCAGTGGTGATCATAGCTCAAAGCAGCCTCCAATGCCTAGATAGAACTACAGGCGAGCGCCACTACACCAGGCTTATTTATTTATTCTAAAAGACAGGGTCTTGCTTTGTTGCCCAGGCTGTCGAACTCCTGGGCTCAAGCAGTCCTCCTGCCTCAGCCTCCCAAATTGTTGGGATGACAGGTGTGGGAGCCACCACTCTGGCCAAAAAGTTTTATATCGTATTTTTTTGATATAGTAAAATTTATAGTAGAACTTATAATTTTGAAGTTACATGACTTTTCTTAGAAATGTCATAAGTATTATATATTTTATTTATTTATTTATTTATTTATTTTTATTTTTTTGAGACAGAATCTCGCTCTGTTGCCAGGCTGGAGGCTGGAGTGCAGTGGTGCAATCTCAGCTCACTGCAACCTCTGCCTCCCAGGTTCAAGTGATTCTCCTGCCTCAGCCTCCCAAGTAGCTGGGACTACAGGCATATGCTACCACGCCCAGCTGATTTTTGTATTTTTAGTAGAGACGGGATTTCACCATGTTGGCCAGGATGGTCTCGATCTCTTGACCTCATAATCCACCTGCCTCGGTCTCCCAAAGTTCTGGGATTACAGGTGTGAGCCACCATGCTCAGCCTATATGTTTTAATGTATATTTTTATTTTGTAAAATGTTTAATACTTTTATGTCCTGTGTGCAAATGTGTTTAAGTCAATACAAATTTTATTAAATAATATGAGACTTGGCAGAGTGTGAGACAAAAAACAAAAAATAAAATGAAATAAAATTTTGTTAAATAATAGACTTTTATTTAATCTGACTAGGAAACCATGTGGGCCTTGAACACCATCCAGTCTACCATTTTCCTAGTACTAGGAACTCAGTATTCCTTTTTTGGGTTTGCAAGACAAATATTTCCTCAGTTTTCTTCTGGCTACGTTTGTGAAAAAAACACCTCTCTTTCTTTACTTTGTAACTTTAAGGATATTTTTGTTCCCATACAATTCTTAATTGGACCAACTGAACTTTACTTTTTTCCACCAACCAGGGCAATTTTCACTTAATTTAGAGAAACTAGTTAGGATGATGTGACTAAAAATATTGCCATTATTATATACACAATATTTGTTTTAGGGGATATTAGGGGTGCAAACAAGCAGTTGTCCTCCAGGGTCTTTGAAACTGGGGCACAGTCTAAGGTCCATGTGACTGCTTATCTGGGAGACATGCCATATATTTCAAGATGCAATGGGCAAAGAAAACAGTAGTGTCCAATATCACAAAGCAAAATGCTTTGAAATCAAGACGTTGATATGTAATTGTTCCACTTCTCAAAAAGGCAGTTCTAGTAACTCCAGACTGAGTAGGAACAGAGATTTTTTTTTTTCTTATTTAATAATAATCGATGTCGATTTTCCCAGGCAATGGTGGGTAAAGCACTCTAGTTAGTAAATAAAGCAAAGTTTTTTTAGTATGTAATGACATTGGGAAGCATGGAACAAACGGAGTGAGTCACTGGGGATGATTCCAGAGAGGGGGTATAACTTGAACTTTATTTACTTAGCAGAATCTGTAAATTACAGCATTCTGTCAGGAAAGAGGCCATGCCTAGAAGCTCTGAGATGGGGTAACCATATGATGTGAAGTCATACTGACTAGATAGACAGAGGGTATGTGCTTGGAAATTGTGGAAGCAGTAAGGTAGAGTAGGGAGAGTGAGTATGCGTTTTAGAGAGCCTTCAAAGGTAGGCAAAAGAGGTTAGATTTAATGCTGGAGGGAATACGTAACTGCTGTATACATGCTTAGGTTCTCCCCAGCCCCCAAAAACATTGACACAAACACCTTCTGCAACCAAAGGGTTAGAATTAGTCATTTGACCCAGCTTAATCCTGCTTTTATATACTTCGTTGATACATGCTACATACATAATTTCTATATTTATCTTGAACGTGTATTCATTTCTGTTAGTTCCAGCATTTGATTATCACATCCAGGAAACCAGCAACCATTGCTCAACTACACTCTGTAAAAACTCTTTACGTATTTGGATCCAAGTAGATCCACTAACATTCAATGCAGAGAGCTGGCTTTATGGGCATGTGGCCTATGCAGTCTCACTGACCTCACATTCAGAAGAGACTTTTGCTTGATTTCATGCTCTGCTATCTTGAAATTTTAATAATTTCTAGACAAGGCTTCCCACATTTTCATTTTGCACTAGGCCCTGCAAATTATGTAGCCAGAACTATCAACAGGTACTTAATAATTATCTTTAAAGTATTCCACTTTAGGCCAGGCGCGGTGGCTCATGCCTGTAATCCCAGTATTTTGGGAGGCCGAGGTGGGCGGATCACAAGGTCAGGAGATCAAGAACATCTTGGCCAACATGGTGAAACCCCATCTCTACTAAAAATACAAAAATTAGCCGGATGTGGTGGCGCGTGCCTATGGTCCCAGCTACTTGGGAGACTGAGGCAGGAGAATTGCTTGAACCCGGGAGGCAGAGGTTGCAGTGAGCCAAGATAGATAATGAGCCAAGATTGTGCCCTCCAGCCTGGCGACAGAGCGAGACTCCATCGCCAAAAAAAAAAAAGAAAGAAAGTATTCAACTTTAATTGATATATCTAATGTTAGCAGCTCTGTAGGAAACCATTAAATACCATAGTTAGGAGTAACGACTTTGGAATCAGTAGCACCTAGTTTTTATCCCAGTTCTGTCCCAGCTTTTGCTATGAGACACCAACTATGTGCTTTAAGCTAAGACTCAGTTTCCATAAACAAAATAATAGTACTTTCACCAAAAAGTATATACAAGAATGTTTTTAAGAGAACAATTCATAAGAGCCCCAAACTGGAAACAATTCAAGGGTCTGTCTATAGTGGAATGGATAAATAGCAATTTGTTTATACAATGGAGTACTATGTAGCAATGCGGGATGAATAGAATACAACTACAAGTAACTGACGTGAGTCTCACAAACCTAATATAGAAAGAAAGAAAACAGACATTAAAGAGTATAATTTTATTTATATAAAGTTCAAAAGCAGACAAAACTAATCCGTGTTGTTAAAACTTAGGATATTGGGTCTCCTTAGGGGGAGAAGGGGACACAGGGAACTTCTGGAGGTATACGATGATGTGTCTCCTGCCGTGACGTGGACTTATTCACACTGTGAAATTCAACAAGTTAGGCGCTTCAAGGATTTGTGTACTTTTCTATATTTTATACTTCTGTAAAATTTGCATTAAAAAAGTCTTACCATATAATTACTCTGAAAATTAAAGAAACACTTGTGGAATCTTTAGAGATGCCTCAAGAAGTTCACAGAATATAAGCTTATTTGTGTTTTTTTGTTTGTTTGTTTGTTTGTTTGTTTTGAGACAGAGTCTTGCCCTGTCGCCCAGACTGGAGTGCAGTAGCGCGATGGCGGCTCACTGCAAGCTCCGCCTCCCGGGTTCCGCCATTCTCCTGCCTCAGCCTCCCGAGTAGCTGGGACTACAGGTGTCGCCACCACGCCCGGCTAATTTTTTGTATTTTTTTTTTTTTTAGTAGAGACGGGGTTTCACCGTGTTAGCCAGGATGGTCTCGATCTCCTGACCTCGTGAGCCGCCCGTCTTGGCCTCCCAAAGTGCTGGGATTACAGGCTTGAGCCACCGCGCCCTGCCTATTTGTTTTATTTTATTATTTTTTTGAGACAGAGTTTCGCTCTTGTTGCCCAGGATGAAGTGCAATGGCATGATCTCGGCTTACTGCAACCTCCGCCTCCTGGTTTCAAGCCAGGATTACAGGCGCGCACTGCCACGCCTGGCTAATTTTTTTTCTTTTTTTCTTCTTTTGGTAGTGATGGGGTTTCTCCATGTTGGTCAGGCTGTTTTTTTTCTTTTTTTCTCAGATGATCCGCCCGCCTTGACCTCCCAAAGTGCTGGGATTTTTTTTTTGTTTTTTTGTGCCCGGCTGTAAGTTTAAATACTTCCATTAAATGGTTTACAGACTGACAGAGAAGAATTAGGGCCACAGTTTGAACCAGTGTCTTGGCTGTTCGCTTTCTTTTTTTTTATTTTTTTTAAGACTTTGAAAGCCTTTGACAAATGGTAAATAAAGGAAAATTTTTTTTTATTTTTTTAAAATTGAGTTTCTCTGGCCATCATAAGACTTCTTTTAAGTAATTTTTTTTATTTTTTTGGAAAGTAAAATGAAGCATGTTTGCCTTTGTAGTACAAGGTTGTTTTTTTTATTTTTTTTCGGTAAGACAGGTGCCCAGAGAGTGTTGCATATTCTCTTATTTTTTTTTTTTTTTTTTGATTTTCTAAATGTACTTATTTGAAAACTACATTATAGTTGTCTTTTTTTTCTTTTTTTGCGCTGTTTTTCCATTTTTGCTTACATTTAGTCTGGAAGACTTGTTATTTTATTTCATGTATACGTATTTATTTTTAGGTGACTATGAAAGGCTTATATTTCTTTTTTTTTTTTTTTTATGAAGAAATAACATTTGTATTTCAAGAAAGGGTAAGAAAAAATTTTTTTTCTTTTTTTAAGTTACTGTATCTTTATATGCAATAAACCCACTTTTAAATGATTTTTTTTTTTTTTTTAGACTTAATGAAGAAAAATTACTTAAATGAAACTCCTCAAATTTTTTTTTTTTTTTTTTAATTTTATGTGAAAATGGTGGCTCATATTGTAGTTTAACTGTTTTTTAAGTTTTATTTTGTTTTTAATTGACACATAATTGTACATATTTATGGGGTACCATGTGATGTTTTGATTCATGTATAAATTATGTAATGATCAAATCAGGGTGATTAGCATATCTTTTTTTTATTTTTTTGCCATTTTGTTGTGTCACTCAAAATTCTCTCTTCTAGCTATATTTTTTTTTGTTTTTTTTTTTTTGAGACGGAGTCTCGCTGTGTCGCCCAGGCTGGAGTGCAGTGGCGCGATCTCGGCTCACTGCAAGCTCCGCCTCCCGGGTTCACGCCATTCTCTCACCTCAGCCTCCGAGTAGCTGGGACTACAGGCGCCCGCCACCACGCCCGGCTAGTTTTTTGTATTTTTAGTAGAGACGGGGTTTCACCATGTTAGCCAGGATGGTCTCGATCTCCTGACCTCGTGATCCACCCGCCTCGGCCTCCCAAAGTGCTAGGATTACAGGCTTGAGCCACCGCGCCCGGCCATGTAATACATTCTTAACTATAGTTACCCTACTGTACAATAGAACACCAGAACCTATGCCTTCCATCTATCTGTAACTTTGTATCTGTTGACAAACCTCTCTCCCCAGCTCCTACCCCTTTTAATCTCTGCAGCCTCTAATAACCATTGTTGGACTCTCTAAGTCTATGCAATCAACTTTCTAGGATTCCATATTTGAGTGAGATCATGTAGCATTTGTCATTCTGTGCTTAGCTTATTTCACTTAACACAACATTCTCAAGATTCATCCATATTTTCACAAATGACAGGATTTTTTTCTTTTTATGGCTGAATAGTATTCTGTTGTGCATATATACCACATTTTCTTTATCCATTCATTTGTCGATGGACACTTAGGTTGATTCCATATCTTCGCTATTGTGAATAGCTGCAGTAAACATGGAGGTACAGCTATCACTTTGACATGTTGCTTTCATTTCCTTTGGTTGTATGCATACCCAGGAGAGGGATTGTTGGATTACATGATAGTTCTTTTTTTTTTTTAATTTTATTTTATCTTTTAATTGAGACAGAGTCTCACTGTGTTGCCCAGGCTGGAGTGCAGTGGTGCCATCCCAGCTCACTGCAACCTCTGCCTCTCAGGTTCAAGTGGTTCTCCTGCCTCAGCCTCCTGAGTAGCTGGGATTACAGGCATGCACCACCATGCCCAGCTAATTTTTGTATTGTTAGTAGAGACAGGGTTTCGCCAGGTTGGCCAGGCTGGTCTCAAACCCCTGACCTCAGGTGATCCGCTCACCTCGGCCTCCCAAAGTGCTAGGATTATAGGCATGAGCCACTGCGCCCAGCCTGGTAGTTCTATTTTTAATTTTTTGAGGAACATTCATATTTTTGTCCTTAATGGCTATACTAATTTACATGACCACCAATGGTGTTTAAGAGTTCCCATTCTCCACATCCTCACCAGCATTTGTTACATTTTGTCTTTTTGATAATAGCCTTTCTAATGGGGATGAGGGGATATCTTCTTGTGGTTTTGATGTCTATTTCCCTGACAGCTGTGTTTGAGTGATATTCAAACCAGGGATGCAAGGATAGTTCAACATAAGCAAATCAATAAATGTGATACATCACATTAACAGAATGAAGGACATAAACCCTCTGATCATCTCAATAGATACAGAAAAACCATGTAATAAAATTCAACATCCCTTCATGATGAAAACCCTACATAAATTAGGCACAGAATGAATATATGTCAATATAATAAAAGTCATGTATAACAGACCTGCAGCTAACATCATACTGAACAAGAAAAAGTTGGAAGCTTTTCCTCTAAAATCTGGAACAAGACAAGGATGACCACTTTCACTGCTTCTATTCAACATAGTACTAGAAGTCCTAGCCAGAGCGATTAGGCAAGAGAAAGAAAGAAAGAGCGTTCGAATTGGAAAGAAGAAAGTCAAACCATCCCTGTTGTTTGCAGATGACGTGATCTTATATATAGAAAACTCTACAGACTCCACCAAAAACCTGTTGGAACTAATTAATAAATTCAGTAAAGTTGCAGGATACAAAATAAAAAATCAGGAGGCAGGGCGCGGTGGCTCACACCTGTAATCTCAGCACTTTGGGAGGCCGAGGTGGGTGGATTGCCTGAGCTCAAGAGTTCAAGACCAGCCTGGGCAACACAGTGAAACCCCATCTCTACTAAAAATACAAAATATTAGCCGGACGTGGCGGTATGTGCCTGTAGTCCCAGCTACTCAGGAGGCTGAGGCAGGAGAATTGCTTGAACCTGAGAGGCGGAGGTTGTAGTAAGCCAAGTTTGTGCCACTGCACTCCAGCCTGGGCAACAGAGCAAGCCTCCATCTCCGAAAGAAAAAAAATAATAGCAGTTCTTTTTGTAGTTGTTGTTTTGTTTTTCTGAGACAGGGTCTTGCTCTGTCACCCACACTGGAATACAGTGGTGCAATCTGGGCTCACTGCAACCTCCCCCAGCATCAGCTCCCACCTCAGCCTGCTGAGTAGCTGAGACTACGGGCATGTGCCACCGTGCTTGTCCGACTGACTTTTTTTTGTTTTTTTGTAGAGGCAGGTTTCGCCGCGTTGCCCAGGCTGGTCTCGAATTCCTGGGCTCAAGCTATCCTCCCACCTCAGCCTCCCAAAGTGCTGGAATTACAGGCGTGCACCACCGCGCCTGGCCAAGTAGCAGTTCTCTATACCAACAGCAAACTATCTGAAAAAGAAATTAAAAGGCGAGGCACCTATAATCCCAGCACTTTGGGAGACCGAGGGTGGAAGATCACTTGAGCCCAGGAGTTCAAGGTCAGCCTGGGCAACAAAAGGAGACCCTGTCTCTACAAAAAAAATTTTTTTTTAGTTAGCGAGGCATGCTGGCTGACACCTGTAGTCCCAGCTACTTGGGAGGCTAAGGTAGAGGGATCACTTGCGCCCAGGAGGTCAAGGCTGCAGTGATCCATGATCTTGACACTGCACCCCAGTCTGGGCAACAGAGCAAGACTTGTCTCAGAAAAAAAGAGAAATTAAGAAGGCAACCCCATTTATAATAGCTATAAAGAATAAAAAATAAAATGCCCAGGAATAAATTTAACCAAGGAGGTGAAATATCTCTATGATGAAAACTATAAAATATTGATGGAAGAAATTGAAGAGAACAGTCATAAGTGGAAAGATAGTCTGTGTTCATTAATTGGAATAATTAATATTGTTAAAATGTCCATACTACCCAAAGCCATCTACAGACTCAATTCAATCCCTATTAAAACGTCAATGGCGTTTTTCACAGAAATAAAAAAATAATTGTAACAATCATATGGAACCACAAAATACTCTGAATAGCCAAAGCCATCTTTACCAAAAGAATAAAGCTGCAGGCATTACACTACCTTACTTTAAAAAATATTTTTAAAAGAATTGCTGCAAAAGAGGTTTTAGTTCCTCAGGGTGGTAGCGTAAAAGGTATTAGGAAGACAGAACAAACTTAATAGTCTTACATGTTGTGAAATAACATGTAATACCACAATAATGCAAGTTTTCAGAAAGTAGCCATATTTCAGAAAAGACCTTGTCTTGGCCAGGCACGGTGGCTCACACCTATAATTCCAGCACTTTGGGAGGCCGAGGCAGGCGGATCACGAGGTCAGGAGATCGGGACCATCCTGGCTAACATGGTGAAACCTCGTCTCTACTAAAAATGCAAAAAATTAGCCAGGTGTGGTGGCATGTGCCCATAGTCCCAGCTACTTGGGAGGCTGAGGAAGGAGAATGGTGTGAACCCGGGAGGCAGAGCTTGCAGTGAGCGGAGATTGCACCACTGCACTGCAGCCTGGGTGAGAGAGCAAGACTCTATCTCAGGAAAAAAAAAACAAACACAGACCTTGTCCCGTATGTGAAATGGAAGAGGTAGAAAAATACTGTTTTCCATACACATTTCAGAGATTGCCAAAGTTACTTCATTTACTAAGTTTTAAATGATCACTCATACTCATATTATCACCAAGTTTTTTATTACTTTAAGCATAGATAGTAGAATTTTCATATATAGTATTGGTGATTATTAGAAAGATTTGTAGCAAGCCAAAATCATTCTTCCATAAATTTAGGGATTAAAACTAAGTGCTATATGTTAATCAGTATTTCATAATAATTATGAGAGTTTGGATCGTGAACGCAATCCAGTTTTCTCTCTTGTCTGTCACTAACTCCTAAAACATTTAGGCCGTGCACAGTGGTGCACTCCTGTAATTCCAGCACTTTGGGAGGCCGAGGCAGGAGGATCACTTGAGGCCAGGAGTTCAAGACCAGCCTAGGCAAAAAAAGTGAGACCCCCATTTCTACCAAAAAAAAAAAAATAGCTAGGCGTGGTGGCACCCACCTGTGTAGGTCAAGGCTACAGCGAGCCGTGTTCACACCACATCACTCCAGCCTGGATGATAGAGCAAGACCCTGTCTCAAAAAATCAAAAACAATTAGGCCAGGGCTCTGTGTTTCAGACAGCTTGACTTCTGTCATTGATCAGGATGAGGGCTAGGGGTTGATTGGTTCTTAGGAAGAAACATCTCCAGGTTCACAAGATCATGAGTAAAATTCACAAACTCACCAATATTATTGAACATCTTCATATTATCACCAAGTTTTGTCAAAACTGAGATTTAAAAAGATGTTCTCAGATTGTGTTCCTGATAAATAAAACACAGTGATCCCTGTGATACATCACAGGAGGGGCTATATAAGTGGCTATTCTTGGCCAGCTTTTGATCTAATCGTGGGCATATTAGGGGTAGAGGAGACTGATTTAATTATCAGTACCAGGTACAGTTGTTTAGCGGAGGTGATATTATATTTAATAATATAGGTGGATGACATTGAGTGTCTGAATTTGGACTATGTTTGCCTTTGAATTTCTTTTGTTCTTTTTTTTTTTTTTTTTTTTTTTTTTTTTTTTTTTTTTTTTTTTTGAGACAGGTCTCGCTCTGTCACCCAGGCTGGAGTGCAGTGGCACAATATCAGCTTACCGCAACCTCCACCTCCTGGGTTCAAGCGATTCTCCTGTCTCAGCCTCCCAAGTACCTGGGACTACAGGCGTGCGCAACCATGCCCAGCTATTTTTTGTATTTTTAGTAAAGACCAGGTTTCACTATGTTGGCCAGGCTGGTCTCAAACTCCTGACCTTAAGTAATCCATTTGCCTTGGCCTCCCAAAGTGCTGGGATGACAGACGTGAGCCCCCATGCCCAGCCTTGCCTTTGAATTTCTATCTAGAAGTGGAATCTGAGAGATAATTAGGTTCAGTTGCATTGGTGTGTTGACCCCAGACTCCCATGGGGCATGGTGAAATGTCCAAGACACATGTTAAGGAAGAGTTGAATAAAGGAGTGTAAGGAATTCCACTGGCTGGCCAGTCTCACTGGCTTACGCCTGTAATCCCAGCAATTTGGGAGGCCGAGGTGGGCAGATCACCTGAGGTCAGGAGTTCAAGACCCCAACCTGGCCAACATGGTGAAACCCCATCTTCTACTAAAAATACAAAAAAAAAATTAGCCAGGCATAGTGGCTCATGCCTGTAATCCCAGCTACTCAGGAGGCTGAGGCAGGAGAATCACTTTAACCCGGGAGGCGGAGGTTGCAGTGAGCTGAGATTGTGCCACAGCACTCCAACCTGGGTAACAGAGAAACTCTAGCTCAAAACAAAAAAAAAAGGAAAAAATAATTTTACTGACTGGACACAGTGGCCCACACCTGTAATCCCAGCACTTTGGAAGGCTGAGATGGGAGGATCACTTTAGCCCAGGAGTTCAAGACCAACCTGGGCAACTCAGCGAGACACCATCTCTATTTCTTAATTATATTTTTAAAAAAGAATTTCACTTATAGCATTAAGAAAATTTAAGGTCTGGGCACTATGTCTCATGCCTTTAATCCCAGCACTTTGGGAGGCTGAGGCATGAGGATTTCTTGAGCCCAGGACTTAAGAGACGAGCCTGGGCAACATAGCAATACCCCAGTCCTACAAAAAAAATTAAAAATCAGCTGGGTGTGGCGGTGCATGCCTGTAACCCCAGCTACTCGGAAGGCTGAGGCAGGAGGATCACTTAAGCCCTGGAGGATGAGGCTGCAGTGAGCTGTGATTGTGCCACCGCACTCCAGCCTGGGAGACAGAATGAGACCCTGTCTCAAAACAAAACAAACAAAAAAATAAAATTCTAAAAATTAGTAAAAGCCGGCCGGGCACAGTAGCTCACACCTATAATCCCAACACTTTGGGAGGCCGAGGCGGGTGAATCACGAGGTCAGGAGATTGAGACTATCCTGGCTAACACGGTGAAACCCCGTCAATACTAAAAATACAAAAAATTAGCCAGGTGTGGTGGCGGGCGCCTGTAGTCCCAGCTACTCAGGAGACTGAGGCAGGAGAATGGCGTGAACCCGGGAGGCGGAGCTTGCAGTGAGCCGAGATCGTTCCACCGCATTCCAGCCTGGGCAACAGAGCAAGACTCTGTCTCCAAAAAAAAAAAAAAAAAAAAATTGTAAAGGCTCTAAGTTATGTGTATATGTGTTTAAGGATATCTCTGTAAACATGAAGATCTGATGTTCTGAGATTATTTAGGTTGGAATAAAGGAGTACAGTATTTGCTGCTTTACTTTGTTATCCTAACTTTATTGTCTACACATATATCCATATTGTTACTTGAGTACTTTTAAAAATATATGTCCGAAAGCTTTTTTAAAATTGTACCCCCAAATTTTCTTTATTCTTTTTTTATTATATACATTTCTATAATTACTTATAGTTGTTAAAATTAGCTGTGAGATTTGGGGTCTGATTAATTTTGTTTAATTATGTGTGAAAATTTTCACAGCATAAAGAAGTTCTCATAGGAATGTGTGAATAACATATTCTTTTATTATCCTTTGGTTCTAGGAAAATCTTCCTGTTACAGAGGATAACTTTGTAAAACTTCAAGTTAAAGCTTGTGCTCTCAGCCAGATAAATACAAAGGTATTGGTTCTTTTATTATGGTGCAAAGTAAAATGAGAGTTTCTTAGTGTATTTAGTGTATAAATATAATGATAACTGACATCTCAATGTGAAGAATTTATTATCATCTTGATTTTTATTAACTTTTTTATTTGAGACAGAGTTTCGCTCTTATCGCCCAGGCTGGAGTGTAGTGGTGCGATCTCAGCTCACTGCAACCTCTGCCTCCTGGGTTCAAGCAATTCTCCTGTCTCAGCCTTCTGAGTACCTAGGATTACAGGGGTACACCACCACACCCAGCTAATTTTTGTATGTTTTTTAGTAAAAATGGGTTTTGCCGTGTTGGCCAGGCTGGTCTCAAACTCCAGACCTCAGGTGATCCACCTGCCTTGGCCTCCCAAAGTGCTGGGATTCCAGGCGTGAGCCACTGCGCCCGGCCTACCATCTTTAGAAGACTAGAACAGCTGGGGGAGAAAATTTAGTGTGCTTTTGTATATTTCTGTATAAGGGACATTATTAGTCTGATTGAAGTTACATATTTTATATGAAAATACAAATATTTTATAAGAAAATAGAAATATTTAATGTAAATATTTTATAATATTTTATAAACTCCTTTACATTGCAGAAAACAGTTTATAACTAACAAAGTCTATTATTAAGGAAGAAATAAATAATAAAATAGAAACTAGAAACCTAATCAGTTTATTAGCTACCAATTAGATATTTAATTAATATCATTAGTTATGGTTCATCTTTCTCTTGTCATTTCTTTTTGCGTTGCTCTCTCATAAACATACATCTCTACCTCACACTGCCCTGCAGTAATCTTTCATTATTGACCATGAAATACATAGAACGTTTTCAGTGGTAAATAAACTGTGGTTAAATGTGCTATGATAAATTGAGCAGGTCCATTTACTCCGTTTTTTTGTTTGTTTTGTTTTTTAGGATTAATGCCATAGTTTACATGACATATACATGCCATAGTATACATGACGTTACATTACATGACCCATAACTTATTGGATTATAATGTGACTATAATTTTTAGGAATCTAAAAGTCTTCTTTGATAAAGTCACACTTAGGAAATTACAGACCGGGTATAGGCTTTCATTGGGCAACTCTGTAACATGAGCATGACTTGACAAATGCATTAGTGGGATCCCCTGAAGTCTTTTCACAAGAGTACTAGTACTAGATCTTGTCTGCAGATTTCTATCTTCAGATGTTTTTTTTAAAACTGAAAAATCCATTAAAATCCAAGCCTAGGAAATAATCTCCTTGTCTAACAGAAATAAATAGTAAATTATGGTAAAATCAGTTGAATGAAATATTGCACATCTGTTAAGCATAATGGTTATGAAAACTGTGTGGGTAATGTAAGAAAATGCTTATGGTAAGTGAAGAAGCCAGGATGTAATTGCTAAAACCATGGTTTTAACTCCATACAAATGTGCATAAAAGAAATACTGTGGCCAGGCACAGTGGCTCACACCTGTAATCCCAGCACTTTGGGAGGCCGAGGCAGGCGGATCACAAAGTCGAGAGATCGAGACCATCCTGGCCAACATGGTGACTCCCTGTCTCTACTAAAATTACAAAAATTAGCTGGGCATGGTGGCGCGTGCCTGTAGTCCCAGCTACTCGAGAGGCTGAGGCAGGAAAATTGCTTGAACCTGGGAGTCAGAGGTTGCAGTGAGCTGAAATCATACCACTGCACTCCAGCCTGGTGACAGAGCGAGACTCCATCTGAAAAAAAAAAAGAAAAGAAATACTGTAAAACACCCAGTACTTCTGTAAGAATGTCATATGAACATCTTAAGAAAAGTATAGTGTTCCATATTGAATAAGAGACTTCTGACAATCAGGTATACATACAGGAGATCAGAAAATTGAAAAATAAATATAGAAGAGAATTATTTCAATTTTTTACTTACTGTTCCTAAAATATTATGGTATCTACAGATACGTTCAGCCTCTCTAATGTTAAGTGCCAGGAGCTTAAACCACAGGCTTATCTTAGTACACCGTGTTACTTCAAAAGACAAGTACTTATAATTAATTTGGTCACAGTCTAATAAAATACCAATCTCTTAAAAATGTAGCCTTAACGAAAAGAAACTCCAGTCACCATGAATCTGAAATTATATGGGAGATTACTGTTAATATTCATCACTACTTCTCACCCACTCCCTAACCCAAGGCTTTTAACAACTCAGGTGATTTTAAAGGGTATGGAAATGGAGAACTCTTTGTTCTCATTGGCCACACCCCCTTATTCAACAGTATTCTCTCCAGACTACCCTCCCTTCACCTGAATAAGGTGACTGATAGTGTTTAGACAACCAAGAAATATTTTGGCCATAATTTCCCTTCATACTTGGCAGAGTAAAGATGTTAAACAAAGGATGTTAATGGTAATTTGAATAAGAATATTCATTCCTAAGTCCTGCAGATCAACTAATGCCTCAGTAAATTCTTCGTTTCCTACCCTTTAGAGAAACCTATTTTGTGAAGTTATTTGCTTTGTCTTAATTCCAAAACTTGAACCATATTTGCTCTTTCTGTGATTTGACTTTTGCTCTTGCTTTCCTCACACATTAAAATAGAGTCCAGGATTTCTTCTGACGATAGTATGTTAACAGCCTTTGTCATGATTTAGCTTCTGGCAGAAATGAAGATGAAAAAGGATTTATTTCCTGTTGGAAGAGAAATTGCTGGAATTGTATTAGATGGTAAGTATACAGATGTGAGTATATGTATTTATTTTCTAAGGTAAAAGAAATTAAATGGTAGCTAATTGGTTTCCTGGTACATAAAATTATATACAGCCTTTGAAATTTAAATTTAATTATATGAAAATGTCCTTTTTTATTTTTATTTTTATTTTTTTGAGAGGCAAGGTCTCTCTGTGTTGCCAAGCCTGATCATAGCTTCAGCCTTAACTCCTGGGTTCAAGTGATCCTGCTGCCTCAGCTTCCTGAATAGCTGAGTCTACAGCAAGCTTGTCCAACCAGCATGCGGCCCAGGACAGCTTTGAAGTCAGCCCAACACAAATTCGTAAATTTTCTTAAAACATTATGTGATTTTTTGACCAGGCGCGGTGGCTCACGCCTGTAATCCCAAGCACTTTGGGAGGCCAAGGCGGGCGGATCACAGTCAGGAGATCAAGATTAGCCTGGCTAACACAGTGAAACCCCGTCTCTACTAAAAATACAAGGCCGGGCACGGTGGCTCAAGCCTGTAATCCCAGCACTTTGGGAGGCCGAGACGCGCGGATCACGAGGTCAGGAGATCGATCCTGGCTAACACGGTGAAACCCCGTCTCTACTAAAAAAAAAAAAAAAAAAAAAAATACAAAAAATTAGCTGGGCATGGTGGCAGGCGCCTGTAGTCCCAGCTACTCAGGAATCTGAGGCAGAAGAATGGCATGAACCCAGGAGGTGGAGCTTGCAGTGAGCCGAGATCGTGCCACTGCACTCCAGCCTAGGTGACAAGTGGGAGACTCTGTCTCAAAAAAAAATTAATTAATTTTTTTTTATATGTGATTTTTTTTTTTTTTATTCATCAGCTATCATTTAGTGTTAGTGTATTTTATGTGTTGCTCAAGACAATTCTTTCTCTTCCAGTGTGGCCCAGGGAAGCCAAAAGATTGGACACCCCTGGTCTACAGGTATACAACATTATGCCTGGCTTTGTCTGGCTTTTTTTTTTTTTTTTTCTTTTCAGACAGAGTCTCACTCTATCACCCAGGCTGCAGTGCAGTGGCATGATGTCCACTCCACTGCAACCTCCACCTTCCAGATTCAAGCGATTCTGCCTCAACCTTTCAAGTAGCTGGGACTACAGGCACTCGTCACCACGCCTGGCAAATTTTTGTATTTGTTGGTAGAGATGGGTTTCACCATGTTGGCCAGGCTGGTCTCGAACTCCTGACCTCAAGTGATCTGCCCACATCGTCTCCCAAAGTGCTGGGATTACAGGCATGAGCCACTGTCCTTGGCCCTTTTTATTTTTAATTGAAAAGAAAAATAGGACTTAATTGGTATTTTATAATTGAAGAGCTTATTACAGTGTAGTAAATGTTTAGGGGTTATATATTTAAATCCATAAGTGATCATATATTGAATAGAATGACCAATATTGTCTTTTTATGATGAAATAATGATCTTAACATACAGAACAGTAAGCCTTATATCAGGCTTTTGATATAATTTATTTCTAAATAGACCTATACTTAATATTCACTAACAGGTGGTTCATGATTAATGTGTTTGCTCTTACCTCGTATGCGAATGAATAAATGTGTTAAGGTATGTTAGACTATATTTGAGTTTTACCTGTGATTTTAACATATAATAGATTTGATACTCTATGTAATCTTCTGACAAAGCTAAATGATAATTGTGTTTCCTTTTTTCTCAGTCTGTAGAAAAATAAATATAATAACCAGATGATCATTCATTCTACATTTAGTGAGCAATTGCTAAGTGCTTAGGATATAAGTGAAATGAAGTCCTTGCCCTTAAACAGTTCACTCTCTAGGGGAGAGACAAATACATACGTGAGCAGATTATTATGTAAGCTCCGAAGAAAGCTGCTTAACCCGGCCAGAAGAAACAGGAAAGGCGTCTTGGAGTAAGATGTCCAAATAATAAGGGGCAGGCAGATGGAGAATCACACCCAGCAGGGAGGATATTATGAGCAAAGACAAGCAAGTGAAAGTGGGATGTGTATAAGAATTACAAAGAGTTTGGTATTGCTAGAGCAAGATGAAGTCCTGGGCAGGCGTCAACAGCATGGTACTTGGTAGCAGAGAAACATTTTGTCGAGAAAATTCTCCTCCTGGGCTGGGTGTGGTGGTTCACACCTGTAATCCCAGCCTTTGGGAAGCAGAGGTGAGAGGATCACTTGAGCCCAGGAGTTTGAGCCAACAGAGTAAGACCCCGTCTCAAAAAAGAAAAAAAAAAAAAATTCTCCTTCAAATATTGCAGAATAAAAGATATTGCACAAAATACTTTCATGATGATGTGAACACTAATTCCTGCCTTCCAAAAATAAAGCAGGAGGATAGGCAAGGGCCAAGACCTTTAGTTGAGACTTAGGTATGAGATCGTACTTTAGGGAGATTATTAGAGTAGCCATTTGAAGGAAGGGTGGATGTGAGGCAAACAAGTCTATAGGCGAGAGGACTGGTTGGGTTGTAGACCAAGAGGCAAGAGACAGCAAAGTTCACAACCTCAACAGTGCTGGCAGAGGTGGAGAAGCGGGATGGATTCAAGACATATTGAGGAAATAAAGTCAGCAGAACCTAGTAATTCATTGGAACTGGGAAATTAAAAACAGATGAGAACCAGGAATGGCTTACAGAATTCTGGTTCAGGCTTGAATTGGAACCAACATTTGATAAAGGAAGAGATCCGTCCAACATCTTAGTGAGGCTGCAGTGTCTGCTGCTGCTCTCCGAGCCTCACAGTGCCGCCCAAGGATGACAAGAAGAAGAAGGACGCCGGAAAGTCGGCCAAGAAAGACAAAGACCCGGTGAGCAAATCCGGGGGCAAGGCCAAAAAGAAGAAGTGGTCCAAAGGCAAAGTTCGGGACAAGCTCAATAACTTAGTCTTGCTTGACACAGCTACCTATGACAAACTCTCTAAGGAAGTTCCCAACTATAAACTTACAACCCCAGCTGTGGTCTCTGAGAGACTGAAGATTTGAGGCTATATGGCCAGGGCAGTCCTTCAGGAGCTCCTTAGTAAAGGACTTATCAAACTGGTTTCAAAGCACAGAGCTCAAGTAATTTACACCAGAAATACCAAGGGCGGAGATGCTCCAGCTGCTGGTGAAGATGCATGAATAGGTCCAACCAACTGTACATTTGGAAAAATAAAACCTTATTAAATCCAAAAAAAAAAAAAGGAAGATGATCCAATTAGGAGGAACATTATGAGTTCAGATTTATACTTACTGAGTCAAGGTACTTAAGTGACGTCTCACTGGCAATATCTAGTAAGCAATTAAATGAGTTTAAAGCTCAAGGGTGAGAGATCTATGCTGGAAAGTATATATTTGAGAAATGTCAGCATGTAGGTTGTATTTGAAATAATAGAGTTGATGAATTCTCCGAGAGAGAGTGGAAAAGGATGAGAGATGTAAACAAAGAACCCTTTGGAATGCACTGTTTGAGGGTCAGTTAAAAGAAGAGGAGTATCAAGGACAGCAAGAAAAAAAGAGTCAGAGTGACCTTAGGAGGACAGGGATCAGCAGTAGAAGGGAAAGAGAAAAGTACAGTGAATCAGAAGCCAAAAGGATTGGGGGATGATGGCACAGGAGGGAGCCAAAGAAGGAGCAAACTCCAAAAGGAGGGCTTGAAAGTAGAAATACCAGGCTTCAAATTACTTGCTAGTGGCAACAAATGCCTTCTGGGGCCATTTTGTTGACAGAGCCAGTCGAAGGGACCATTTCCAGATTCAGGTTTCCATCTTACTTCACTGCTTCACCTCAGTTCCTTTTCTGTTAAATAGAAGGAATAATACCTACCTTATTGGTATATTGTGAAGTTTACATGTATAAACACACAACAATGCTGGGCACAAGGAGGCATTCAATAATATTTGGGGTTTTTTCCTCCCTTTTCCTCTTGTAACTCTTTGAATGAAGCTACTCAAATGAATTGACTGATAGTCAAGGCTTTTTCTCTACATATGCAGAGAAAATGTAACTATATCATTTCCATAAAGTTGCAGAAAACTTCTTGGTATCAACCTGAATTTATTTCCCAAATCAAAATCATTTTAATGTCACTCTTCTTAAGGGAGGAGGCCACCCCTCATGTTGTCTTATGCCCAATTTCTGCCTCCAAAGAAAGAAGAAGTAAAAACTAAAAGGCAGAAGTGAAATCCACAGGCAGACAGCCCAGTGCCACACCCTGGGCCTGGTTAAAGATCCACCCCTGACCTAACCGGTTGTTATCTATAGATTCCAGACATTGTATGGAAATGCGTTGTGAAAATCCCTGTCCTGTTCTGTTCCATTCTGATTGCCGGTGCATGCAGCTCCCAGTCTCATACCCCCTGCTTGCTCAATCGATCACGACCCTCTCATGCGGACCCCTTTAGAGTTGTAAGCCCTTAAAAGGGACAGGACTTGCTCACTCGGGGAGCTTGGTTTTTAGAGACATGAGTCTTGCCAAAGCTCCCAGCCGAATAAAGCCCTTCCTTCTTTAACTTGGTGTCTGAGGGGTTTTGTCTGCGGCTTGTCCTGCTACCTTCTCAGAATTCCCTGTTGTATGAGATTCGGCAACAAAAGTAAAGATAGATTGGGCTAGCCACAGAAGGAGTAGAAAACAATATAATTATCATAGAAGCTATAGATTATTTTCCTTTACTCCTTCTTCCTTAAAGTCAGCTAAATAGAGGCCAGGCACAGTGGCTTACACCTGTAATCCCAGCACTTTGGGAGGCCAAGGCAGGTGGATCACTTGAGGTCAGGAGTTCAAGACCAGCCTGACCAAGATGATGAAACCCTGTCCCTACTAAAAATACAAAATTAGCCAGGCATGATGGTGCATGCCAGTAGTCCCAGCTACTCAGGAGGCTGGGGCACAAGAATCACTTGAACCTGGGAGGCAGCGGTTGCAGTGAGCCGAGATCGCGCCACCGCATTCCAGCCTCAGTGACAAGAGCAGAACTCCGTTTCAAAAAAAAAAAAAAGGTCAGCTAAATAGGCAAAGAGAGACGTACTTCTCCTGGTCTCAACAATCGCATAGTCCAAATATCTAAAGAATCCAGATTTGAAGTGTATATCCTGTAGTCCTTATAGACCATCAAAATGCTACTGAAATTTTTGGCCTTTGTTCTTAGTAAAATAAAATCAGTCTTTTTACAAATCCACAGACTTTAAAAATGTATTTTAATAGTTAAGAATTACGTTTAATAAATTTGTAATATTAACTATTAATTTTCTTCACTCTTTAGTTGGAAGCAAGGTATCATTCTTTCAACCAGATGATGAAGTAGTCGGTAAGTTATAGTTCATAGTCTTATTTCAAAGCATCTATTTTACTGTCATCTCTGTTTTTTCTATATAACTATTAATGTTCACTGTGACCTTGCTTCATATAGAAATACTTTCCAGGCCAGGTGTGGTGGCTCACGTCTGTAATCCCAGCACTTTGGGAGGCCAAGGTGGGCGGATCACCTGAGGTCAGGAGTTCAAGACCAACCTGACCAACATGGAAAAACCCCGTCTCTACTAAAAATACAAAATTAGCCAGGCATGGTGGCACATGTCTGTAATCCCAGCTACTCAGAAGACTGAGGCAGGAAAATTGCTTGAACCCAGGAGGCAGAGGTGGTGGTGAGCTGAGATCGCACCACTACACTCCAGCCTGGGCAACAAGAATGAAACTCCATCTCAAAAAAGAAAGAAAGACTTTCCTGGTTTTTGAAATTTACTGTCCAATTTCTATTGATGATAAAAATTGGGACCTTGATTGCAATAGCAGAACATTTAAAACTTTTTAATATTTAGCTGTAGAACAATGTTACAGATAAAAAGATAGTCATAGTTTCTATAGTACTTGGTGTAGCCTAGATTTTCTGGCAGATGCTTAGTCTGTGGCCAGACTGAAGTCTTTAGGGAAAAGGAAAGTCACAAATCACGTTCTTGAAGGCTGCTGACTGACTGGGCCATATAGAAGCTCCATGCACTGTTTCAACTGAAATCATACACAGCTTTTCTCTTACAAATCTTGTAAAACTAAAAATTGACTTGAAACATTTAATTTTTTTTTTTTTTTTAAATCCATAGTATTTTTGAAATTTGGCAACCTGTATGCTAGACAGTCACACAAACACAGGCTATGACTTTTATAGTTGCAACCTGCATCCTAGACAATAACACAAATATAGGGTATGACTTTTATAGTAGTCTTTGAAATTTCCATTTCTCTGTGGAAGACATAAAGTTAGAAAACATTTATATAACATGTATTATATAGGGCCATATAACATATATTATGCAGTGGCTCACACCTGTAATCCTAGCACTTTGTGAGGCCAAGACAGGGAGATCACTGGAGCTCAGTAGTTCAAGACCAGCCTAGGCAACATTGCGAAAGCTCGACTCTACAAAAAAAATACAAAAATTAGCCAGGTGTGGTGGTGCACACCTGTAGTCCCAGCTACTCGGGAGGCTGAGATGGGAGATTGCCTGAGCCTGGAAGTTTGAGGATGCATTGAGCCATGATCACGCCACTGTACTCCAGCCTGGTGACAGAGAGAGACCGTGTCCAAAAAAAAAAAAAAAAAAAGAGAGAGAAAGAAAAGAAAGAAAAAATATTTAGCCTTATAGCATGCTTGAAATTCTTAAAGGATAGATTTGTAAGAAGGTTTTCATCAGTATTTTATGGTATTGCCTTTGACTCAGGCATTATCCTGGAGAATTGATTATTTCTTTCTTATCTTTTTATTCTGCTCAGGAAATCAGTGGCACTCTTTTTGTAAGAGACCAAAAATAAAATCAGACTACCTTAGAAGAAAAATGGGATTTTATTAGAAACGTACTCTGGCCGGGTGTGGTGGCTCATGCCTGTGAACACTTTGAGAGGCTGAGGTGGATGAATTACAGGGTCAGGAGTTCAAGACCAGCCTGGCTAACATGGTGAAACTGTGTCTCTACTTATAATACAAAGATTAGCCGGGCATGGTGGTGCATGCCTGTAATCCCAGCTACTGGGGAGGCTGAGGCAGGAGAATTGCTTGAACCCAGGAGGCAGAGGTTGCAGTGAGCCAAGATCACACCATTGCACTCCAGCCTAGGCGACAGAGCGAGACTGTGTCTCAAAAAAAAAAAAAGAAGAAAAATACTGAGGTATGTTACGGAACCAAACTATAGGAAGGTAGCCATGCATCAAGGATAATTTTGTTTGTTTATTAGTTTGAGACACAGTCTTGCTCTTATCCCAGGCTGGAGTGCAGTGGTGTAATCATGGCTCATTGCAGCCTTGAACTCCTAGAGTCAAGCAATCCTCCTGCCTCAGCCTCCTCAATAGCTAGAACCACAGGTGCACACCATGACACCCAACTAATTTTTAAATTTTTCTTTTGTAGAGATGAGGTCTCACTATGTTGACCAGGCTGGCTTTGAACTCCTGGCCTCAAGTGATCCTCCTGCCTTGGCCTCCCAAAGTGTTGGGATTACAAGTGTGAACCACCTTGCCCAACCCATCAGGGACAATTTTTTTTTTTGAGGGATGGAGTCTCGCACTGTCACCTGGGCTGGAATGCAGTGGCGCAATCTCTGTTCACTGCAACCTCCACCTCCCAGGTTCAAGCAATTCTCCTGCCTCAGCCTCCCGAGTAGCCAGGATTACAGGTACCCGCCACTATGCCCAGCTAATTTTTTATATTTTTAGTAGAGACAGGGTTTCTCCATGTTGGCCAGGCTGGTCTCGAACTCCTGACCTCATGATTCACCTGCCTCGGCCTCCCAAAGTGCTGGGATTACAGGTGTGAGCCACCACGCCCGGCCCATCAGGGAGAAATTTAGGAAGGAGTCCAGATACTCCCAAGACTCTTGACTTCGTTCTATAACATCAGCCATCATCTTACTATCACTCAGAGGGGAAAGAAGAAAGAGATAGGAGGAGTGGCACAGAGCACTTCCCTATTTCTGAATTTTTTCTTATCCACCCTAGTAATTACTGGAACCTTCCTCAAAATTCCACTGAATAAAATTTGTAATAATACTTACTGGCCTCTCATTAGGAATGAATTTTTGACTTATATCCCTTAAATATCTTATTTTGATTTTTAGGAATTTTGCCCCTGGACTCTGAAGACCCTGGACTTTGTGAAGTTGTTAGAGTACATGAGCATTACTTGGGTATGTAGCAATCCAGTACTTTGGAGCTCACATAAGTCTTACTTCATTGACATATGGTTTAATAGCATTTTAATTTTTTTGAATCTACCATGAGTGTTGTACTTAATAAAGTATCATTAACCAGTCATGTATATAAAAAATGTTGGCTGGTCATGTGAATACTTCTAGCTTATAATTAGTATTCATAAAATTCTTATTCAGACTAAACAATATATAGACCTTTAAGTTTTACTAACACTGCTCATGGTAAGAGCTTTGAAAAGTGGTTTCTCTCTTGGCTGTTAAATTATATCCCTAATCAGAATTTTAAATTTTTTTTTACTCTTGGTTATTGATTGAAACAAAAAATGTACAAAATTTAGACAGTAGATGTAGAGTTTGAGACAGGAAAGAATTGAGAACACTCATCTCAGGCTGGGTGTGGTGGCTCACACCTGTAATCCCAGCACTTTGGGAGGCCAAGGTGGGCAGATCACCTGAGGCCAGGAGTTTGAGACCAGCCAGGCCAATATAGCAAAACCCTGTCTCTACTGAAAAGACAAAAAAATTAGCTGGGCCTGGTGGCACACGCCTATAATTCCAGCTACTCAGGAGGCTGAGGCATGAGAATCGCTTGAACTCTGGAGGTGGAGCCAAGATTGCACCATTGCACTACAGCCTGGGTGACAGAGCGAGACTCTGTCTCAAAAAAGAGAAAAAAAAGAACACTCATCTTTGGTTTGTATTGCAAATATCTTTTGACTAGTATTGAGTTTAACTGAAATGTTCATTTTTAATTTTTCTTATGGTTATTTACTTTTTGGATATTTAAAGTACACACACACACACACACATATATACACTTAATGAAACCATATTAAACAGTTGCTTCATCTCCTAAGTAATCGGGAAAGCAATTAAAACCACTTCGAGATAACATTATGCATCCACTAGATTGACAAAAGTTAAAAAGTCTGACCATCAGCCAGGCGCAGTGGCTCACTCCTGTAATCCCAGTACTTTGGGAGGCCGAGGCGAGCAGATCATTTGAGGTCAGGAGTTTGAGACCATCCTAGCCAACATGGTGAAACCCCATCCCTACTAAAAATACAAAAAATCTTAGCTGGGCTATTGACGCATGCCTGTAATCCCAGCTACTCTGGAGGCTGAGACAGGAGAATCACTTGAACCCGGGAGGTGGAGGTTACAGGGAGCCGAGATGGTACCACTGCACTCAGCCTGGGTGACAGAGACTCCATCTCAAAAAAATAAAAAATAAAAAAACTGACCATCCAAAGGGTGGGAAGGATGTGGAATGATGGAACCTTTCATGCACTGGAATGTAAGTTGGTACAAATATGTTAGAAAATAATTTAACATTATCTAATTAAGGTAATGATGTATATACATCAGATCTGGTAATTCCACTCACAGTTACGTAGCCTATGGAAATTTGATGTGCACTAGGAGACACACTGTATAAGAGTTCATAGCAGCATTATTTGTAATAGTGAAAGAAACTGGAAACAGCCTAAATGTCCATCACCAAGCAAATGGATAGTTGAAGATATTCATAGAATGAATTTCTATATAGCCGTGAAAATGAGTAAGAGCTACACATATCAAAGTGAATGATTCTCACAAACAATATTGAGTGAAAAAAGCAAGTTGCAGAAGAATACAAACAGTCCCCATACCATTTATTTATATACAGTTCAAAAATGTACAAAATTAAGCATATGTTATTTAAGGATGTAGAGAAAAGGTAGAGGATGGAAAGTTAGGTGGAAGTCACCTGTGTGAGCAAGGGAGGAATGTGTGGTCAGTGGACACACCAGGACTGCAGTGGTACAGCCAGCATATATTTCTTATGCTGGGATTCATTATGTTCTTCATACCATATCCATAGGTGCAAATACATTCTTTTATGTTCTTGAACTATTGAATTAAACCTTTTCCTAGGTTCTTTTCTTAAATAATGTAATATCTAATCAGACCTTTTGGGGACAGAGGCCAATTTGGATTTGGGTCTTCCAAAAGATACATGCACACGTATGTTTATTGCGGCACTATTCATAATAGCAAAGACTTGGAATCAACCCAAATGTCCATCAGTGACAGACTGGATTAAGAAAATGGGGCACATATACACCATGGAATACTATGCAGCCATAAAAAAGGATGAGTTCTTGTCCTTTGTAGGGACATGGATGCAGCTGGAAGCCATCATTCTCAGCAAACTATCGCAAGAACAGAAAACCAAATACCACATGTTCTCACTCATAGGTAGGAATTGAACAATGAGATCACTTGGACACAGGAAGGGGAACATCACACACCGGGTCCTATTGTGGGGGTGGGGGGATAGCATTAGGAGATATACCTCATGTAAATGACGAGTTAATGGGTGCAGCACACCAACATGGCACATGTATACATATGTAACAAACCTGCATGTTGTGCACATGTACCCTAGAACTTAAAGTATAATAAAAAAGAAAAATAGTAATCTTACTCAGTTGGGTCCATACAATAACTCAAGCTAGGCTAACAAATCTTTGACATTTCATTCTTAAAATTATAAATTTAAAGTAATTTTTGTTTAAATTAATGTCATTCATTATATCTAAAATTTCCAATAATACTGTATTATTCTATTAAAAATTAATTTCCAAAAGACACTTTTTCAGAGATCTGAGGCCTGTACTTATTGGAATGTACATTAAACCTAGATAAGGAGCCAAGTATGTGTCTTCCTTTGAAAGATAAAGATCTCTTTCAAATACCATGCAGTGAAAGTCTCTAATGCATAGCTATTTTGAAATTGTGCAGTTTGAAAATTGAGGATTGCCACTGGCTCCTTTACAGGAAACTATCCTGTTTTTGGCCCCAGAGTTTCCTTGGATGGTTGGCCTTATTGCCCTGTTCTTTTGAGAACGTCGTGAATATGGAGTCTTTTCATTAAGTAACCAAAACTAAATTGCTATAGAAGATAAATTATTAAAAACAACAACAATTGCCTGGGCGCGGTGGCTCATGCCTGTAATCCCAGCACTTTGGGAGGCTGAGGTGGGTGGATCACCTGAGGTCAGGAGTTCGAGACCAGCCTGGCCAACACGGTGAAACCCCGTCTCTAAAGAATATAAAAACTAGCCGGGCGTGGTGGTAGGTGCCTGTAATCCCAGCTACTCGGGAGGCTGAGGCAGGAGAATTGCTTGAACTCAGGAGATGGAGGATGCAGTGAGCCAACACAGTGCCACTGCACTCCAGCCTCGGCGACAGAGTGAGACTCTGTCTCAAAAAAAAAGAAAAAAAAAACCAACAACAACCAACCAAACAAGGCCCATTCCTTTAGGCACTGATGAACACTGGAAAGTTATGACATGGACCAGAAGGAGAAAAGCAAATTAGAGCATCCATTTTCTAGCTATGAAGTTTAAGCTAAGACAGGCAAACCACACAAATGACCTTTTTCTTCTAACTTATTTATAAATTAGAAGGATGGATTAAAGTCCAGAAATCCACTAAATATATAGAGAAAACAATTGCAGATATTCCTTGAGGAAGAAAACACAACAAAAGTTTCTTTAAAAGAAGTACGACAGGCACGGTGGCTCATACCTGTAATCCCAGCACTTTTGGAGGCCAAGGCGGGTGGAACCCCTGAGGTCAGGAGTTTGAGACCAGCCTGGCCGACATGACAAAACCCCGTCTCTACTAAAAATATAAAAAATTAGCTGGGTGTGGTGGCGTGCACCTGTAATCCGAGCTACTCGAAAGGATGAGGCATGAGACTGGCTTGAACCCAGGAGACAGAGGTGAGCCAAAATTTCGCCACTGTACTCCAGCCTGGGTGACAGAGTGAGACTCTGTCTCAAAAAAATAAAATAAGATAAAATAAGTACTTTAAGGCTGGGTGTGGTGGCTTATGCCTGTAATCCCAACATTTTGGGAGGTTGAGGTAGGAGGATTGCTTGAGCCCGGGGGTTCAAGACCAGCCTTGGCAACTTGCTTGTCTCTACCAGCAAATAAAATTTTGAAAAACAAGAAAGAAAGAAAGAAATACTTTAAGAATGGGCAACATAGCAAGATCATCTCAACAAAAAGTTTGTTTTTTAAAAAAAGAAAAAAACTAGGCCAAGCACAGTAGCTCACACCTATAATCCCAGCACTTTGGGAGGCCAAGGCAGAGCCAATCGCTTGAGCTCGGGAGTCCGAGACTAGCCTGGACAACATGGTAAAACCCTGTCTCTATAAGAAATCCAAAAAAAAAACTAGATGTGGTGGTATGTGCCTATAGCCCCAGCTGCTTGGGAGGCTGAGAAGGAAGAATTGCTTGAACCTAGGAGGTTGAGGCTACTGTTAGCTGTATTTGCGCCACTGCACTCCAGCCTGTCTCAGAAAAAAAGTAGTACTTTAAGAAGGACCTCTTACACAGCAAAGGAAACAGCAGTGTGCAGAGACAGCCTGCAGACTGGGAGAAAATGTTGATAAGCTGTACATCTGATAAGCGGTTAATATAGTGATATATAAGGAGCTCAGACAATAGCAGGAAGAAAAAAACAAGTAGAAAAGGGTCAAAGGACCTGAATAGACGTTTCTCAAAAGAAGACGTGAAATAATACTCGACATCAGTAATCATTAGGGAAATGCAAATTAAAATCACAAAGAAATACCATCTCATACCTGTCAGAATAGCTGCTATCAAAAAGACAAAAGGTAAGTATTGGCAAAAATGTAGAGAAAAGGAAAACTTTGTACGCTGTTGGTGGGAATGTAAATTAGTACAGTCATTATGGAAAGTGTATGAATGTTCCTCAAAAATCAAAACATAGAATTACCATATGATTCAGCAATCCTCCTTCTGGATATTTTCCCCAGAAACTTTGAAATCAGATGTCTGCACTCCCATGTTCATTGCAGCAATATTCACAACAGCCAAGTTATGGACTCAACCTAAGTGTCCATCAACAGATGAATGAATAATGTGGGATAGATATATACAATGGAATACCGTTGAG